GCCTCACACAGTAACTGGTATATGGCTAAAGGTAAAAAAGGAAGATAGTTGGACATGCATGGATGAAATGCCAAGATGAAAGCCAAAATTTTAGTGCATGGTGATAGACATGGGTCTAATTTTAGTCTTTGGTATTTGGAAAGCCAGTTTTCTCAGTACCATTTGTTAAAGAGGTTATCTTTTGGGGCTGGAGATTTAGCTCAATGGTACAGTGCCTGCCTACCAAGCACAAGGTCATGAGCTCAATTCCCGGTACCAGAAAAAGTGCACACAAAAAAGAGATTATCTTTTTTCCAGTGAACATGTTTGGCTTCTTTATCAAAGATTAGGTGGCTGAGTGTGTTTGAGTTGTGTCTGTATTTTCTAATCTGTTCCACCGATCCTCAGGTCTGTTTTTTGCCAGTACCAAGCTGATTTTATCACGGTGGTTTTGTAGTATAATTTCACGTCAGAGATGGTGATGCTCCCTGCCTTGACTTTGTTGCCCAGAATTGCTTGTGCTGTTCTAAGTCTCTTCAGTTTCCAAATGAATTTTAGGAATGTTTTCTCTAGTTCTATGAGATATGGTAATGATATATTGATTAGGATTGCATTAAATCTGTGTAACAGTTTTGGGAGTATGGCCGTTTTCACAATGTTGGTTCTTCCTATCCATGTAAGGTAAATCTTTCAGTTTTCTGATAGTTTCTTGATCTCATTTTTCAGAGTACTGTACTTTTCAATACTTAGATCTTTTAGTTCCTTTGTTAGATTAATTCCTTTTTTTTTTTTGATGCCATTGTGAAGGATGTTGTTTCCCTAATTTCTCTGTCAGTGAATTTGTTCTTTGTGTACAGAAATGTTATTGATTTTTGAGTGTTGACTTTGTATCCAGCTATGCTACTGAATTTGTATATTAAATCTACAAGTTTTTTGGTGGAAATTTTTGGGGTCTCCTATGTAGAATATCATGTTTTCCACAAATAATAATAATTTAACTTCTTCCTTTCATTTCTTTTTCTTGTCTAATTGCTCTGACTAATGTTTCAAGAATAAAAATGGATCAAAGATCTAAATATTAAAACAGAAGCATTAAATCTATTGGAAAAGAAAGTAGGTAGAAATCTTGAAGACATAGGTATAGGCAGAGAGTTCATGAACAAAACCCAGAGTGATAGGAAATACTTAAAAGAATTAACAACTTGGATCTCACCCTATTAGAAAGCTTTTGCACATCAAAAGAAGTCACCAACAGAGTGAAAAGACAACACACAGAGTGGGAAAAAATTTTAGCCAACTGTCCCTCAGACAAAGGACTTATATCTAGAACATATAAAATTTTTTTAAAAAAATCAGGACCCTAAATTCACAGACCCAATCAAAAAATGGGCATTTGAGATGAATACACATTTCTCAGATGAAGAAATACAAATAGCAAATAAATATATGAAAAAATGCTCAATATCATTGGTCATTTGAGAGATGCAAATTAAAACAATACTGAGATTCCATCTCACTCCAGAAAGAATGGCTATCATCAAGAAATCAACCAATAACAAATTCTGGCAGGGCTACGGGGAAAAAGGAACGCTTCTCCACTGTTGGTGACTGTGCAGACTGGTGCAACCACTGAGGAAATCAGTATGGAAATTCCTCAGAAAACCAGGATTAGAGGTTCCACTCTACCCAGCTATTCTTCTGAATATTTTTCTGGAAGAATTAAAAACATCATATCACAGCGATATTTGTACACCCATGTTTATAGCAACACAATGTATAATAGCTAGATCTTGGAAACAACCCAAATGCCCATGCTCCAAGGAATGGATTAAAAATATGTGGTTTTTTTTAATACACTGGAATACTACTTAGCCATAAAGAAAGAAACCTGAGATTTTTATTGGTAGGTGGATAAAACTTGAGACCATACACATAAGTGAAATAAATCAGACCCATATGTGTAAGCATGGTATAGTTTCACTGGTGTGAGAAACTGAAATAGTAAATAAGGTCCAAAATGTACAATAGATATTGTGAAATGGGAAGAAATTGGTTAAAGGGAAAAAGGAACTATGATAAGGGAAAGGAGAAAGGAAGTAAGGGAAAAGGGAAAAAAACAAAAATAAAAGATAGTTATACTATTAGTTTCTCTTAGTTCATTGAAAAGAAAGATTTGTGCTAATATTGTTTGGAGAATTTTTTATGCCCATATCTTGTACTCTGAGTAACTATTCTAAAGATAACAATACTCAATGCTCCTAATATTTTGTTATGAAATTTTGTTTTACTTTTTTCTCATAAAGTAAAAAGAGAAATCCAATATTTTGTAAAATTTATATGCACGAATAAAATAAATATATGATGTGTAAGCATAGGGCAGGCACTGTTTGTTGTAAAAGAAAACTGATAAAAGAAATTGCAGAAAAGACAGTAGTAGGAGAAATTTTAGAAGAGTATGTAAATATCCAAACAAAGCCCAACTATTAATCAAAATAATCCACATAATGCCAAATGTCTGCATTGTAGTAAAACTGCTATACCAGTAGAACTAAAATTATAACTTCTTAATAAATAAATGTGAAACTACCTTTGTTAAAAAAGTTGTATAAATTCTTCATACAAACATTGTCCTTGAGTATTAAGTGATATAAAATATACCAGACTTTTCCATGAACAGAGATGTTTATTTCTATATCAAACCAGGTCCCAGTATAGAAGCCAACAGATATGAAAAACTAAAAATACACCTGTAGAGATGTGATGGAAGTTCCTGTTATGTTGCTACTTTTTTTAAAAAGAAAATAAAAATTGTTCCCATTCTAGATTAAGATATAAGATGGTCTCAGGAAGTAGTTATTACTTATTAATCTCAGCTTTATTGAGCTATGGTTAATGTTTTCAATCTTAGAGTACCTGATTCAGTGGTGTTTAATATTTTCACAGAGTCCAACCATCACCAGAATCTCATTGTAGAATTGTTTCCTCACCCTTCAGAGAAGCCACATGTGCTTCACAGTCCATCCTGATGCCTCTTCCTCGACATCATGACAACACAAACCTGTTTTTCATCTGCATGAATCTGAATATTTTGGACATTCTATACAGATGTAGTTGTAGGCTGTGATATTTTTGTCTGGCTTCTTTCACTTAGTATAGTATCTCTATGGTTTAACCATGTGTAGTATATATACAGATTTAATTATCTGGATGGCAGAATACTATCCCATTGTGTATGAATATACCACATTTGGTTTATCCAGTTGTCAGTTGATGGACATTTGGATTATTTCCATTTTTAATCATAATGAACAAGCTACCATGAATATTCATTTACAAGTTTTCTGTACAGACATGTGTTTTCATTTCACTTAGATGTAAACCAAAAGGTGAAATAAGTGGGCCCCATGGTAACCCACTTAATATTTTGAGAAACTTCTGAACTATTTTAAAAAATGGTCAAATCACTTCAAAACTCCAAAATAACACACAAAGCCTCAGTTTCTCCAGATCATCGTTGGTATGTCTTCTCTTCTACCTCCTCTTTTTCTTCCTCTTCTTTCTTTTCTTCTTCCTTCTGAAAATTTTCACTATCTTCATGGTTATGAAGTAGTCTCTTGTGGTCTTGATTTTCACACTTTCATAGTGACTAATGGTGTAAAGCACCTTTTCATGTGCTTATTAGTCATTTGTGTGCACTGTCTGAAGAAATACTGAAATCTTTTGCTTAGTTTTAAATTAGGCTATTTTTCTTTTTACTGTTGTATCATAAGAGTGCCTTATGTATTAAGCATATAAACCCCTTGTCAGATATATGATGTGCAATTATATCCTGCATTCAGTAGTTTATCTTTTCACTTTCTTTATGGTGCTATTTGAATCACAGAAGTTTTTAATTTTGACCCAGCTATTCCCCTTCTGAGTATCTTCCCAGAAAATTAAAAATATTGTACCACAGTGATATATGTGCACCCATGTTTATAGCAGCACAATTTGTAATGGCTGAATCTTGGAAACAATTCAAATGCCCATCAACCCACAAATGGATAAAAAAAGATGTGATCTTTTTATATACTGGAGTATTATGCAGAGATAAGAAAGGATAAACTGAAGACTTTTATAGGTAAGTGGATACAACTCAAGATCATACTCATGAGTGACGTAAACCAGGTGCACATGTGTAAACATTGTATTGTCACCCTAATGTGAGAACCTAAAAGAGTGAATAAGATCTAAAATGTACAAGAGATATTGTAAAATGGGAAGAAACTTCAAAAGGAAATAAAAACTGGTTTAGGGGAATGGGAAAAAAGAAGGAAGGGAAAAACAAAAGGAAAAAATACGTATACATAAAAATGGTTAAAATAAGTATGCTGCTACTTGCTCTCAGCTCACTGAAAAGATAGGTTTATGCTAATATTGTCTAGACAATTAAATGCTGATATCTTGTACTCTGAGTAACTAATTTAAAGATAACAATGAGCAATATGTTGACTATTGTTACCCTTCTATCATTGTTTTTGAATTTTGTTTTTATATTTTTGTGTTTTTTGTTTCTTTTTAAAATAAAAATGAAAAATGAAAAATAAAGTCTTTAATTTTAACTAAGTTGAATTTATCAAATTTTTTTCTCTGCTTTTGGTGCTATATATAATAAGCTGCTTCCTACTTAGATTTTTTTCTCAATATTTTATAATTTTTGTTTTCTGATTTAGTTCTTTGATGTACTCAAGTTTATTTTTATATAGTATGAAGTAGGGGTCCATCTTTATTCTCTTACAAGTAGATATTCAGTTATATAAATATAATTCATTGAAAAGATTATTCTATCTCCATTAAGTCATCTTTACACCTTCATAGGAGGTCATTTGGCAATAAATGGAAATATTTTGGGGCCCTCCATATTATTCCATTGAGCTATGCCTATCTTTGTACCAGTATCGTGCTATTTTGCTTATTATATCTTTGAAGTGAGTTTTGAAATAAGGAGTTTTGAGCCTTCTAACTTTGTTCTTCTTTTTCAGCATTGTACACCCTTCACATCTGTGCACAATAAGGATTATGGATGGGCTTTGTCCTTGGTGCCTGAGAAGTAATATGTGAGCCTTTGGAATTTATCAAGCAATAGCAGTGCTTCTGCCATTCCTGGTGGACCTTGGACCACATTTGATAATTTCTCAGAGATTGTGTATGTTAGGGGATGACTCTGTGTCTCAGAATGAGGGAATGGGGGTCAAAAACACTAATCATTCCATTAGAGGATTGGAGCTCTGAGCCATGTATACCATCCTGACTTTGGGTGGCTATAGACTAAATTCAGTCAGGTAGCCAATATTTCTATCAATGTTGCCTACATAAAAAATGCTTGGATAAAAACTAAAGTGCAGTTGAGTTTCTTTGGCTGGCAGGAGCACTTGTGAGAAGCTTCTAACTTGTAGGTAGCAGGTCAGGAGGGAAGATGGCTGTAGGGATCTCTAGCCTAACACCCAGTGTTTGAAGCCAGTGTAGTGTCAGAGGACTATGGCCTTAATCTTGGGTTTGGCTAACTACAATAATTTTCATGTAGATCTTAGGATAAGCTTGTCCACTTGTGCAAAATACAAAGCTGAGTTCTTGTTTTATCTGTAGGCAAATTTGGGGAGTATTGTCATTTTAGAAATATTGCCTTCTGAAAAGGACATATATTTACATTTACCTAAGATGATTTTATTTCTTCCAACGTTTTAAAATTTCTATTGTGCAAGTTTTTAACCACCTTGATTAAATTTATTTCCATTTTTTGTAGTTGTTTTTATTTGTTTGAATTCTATTCTAATTGGAATTTATCATAATTACATTTTTGGATCACTGATGTATAGAGATACAATTTATTTTGTGAATCAATCTTGTGTGTTGCAACCTTGCTGAATTCGCTTATTAGTTCTAATAGCTTTCAGTGGACTTCTTATAATTTTCTATACATAAACCTATGTCATCTCAGGATAGAGATGACCTCTTCCATTCCAATCCAGATACACTTTATTTGATTTTATTGTTCATAACTTTATAGAACGTCATAGAACTACCAGTACAATATTGAATAGAAGGGTCAAGAGTGAACATTCTTGCCTTGCTCTTGATCTTAGGGAGTCAGCATTCAGTGCAACGTTAGCAGTGTGTTTCCTGTAGGTCATTTTTAATACATTGAGGGAGTTTTGTTCAATTCCTAGTTTGTTGAGCATTCTATTAAGAAAAGGTAGTAACTATTCTGTTGTGAAGAGACCCTCTTTAAAACATTTATTTAGCTACTTTCTTATTCCACATTGTGAGTTGTGAGTCTTGAGAAGAACCTTTGAATTTGGACAGTAGCCAATTTGAAGGGAGATTGTTTGCCTTGATGTCATTGGAAACACAGTAATAAGAAACATACTCTCTGTTACCAATGGGCAATAAAATTTCCCTGAGAATACAAGGTCTGATCAAACACTATGGTGAATATTAGTGTTTTTAAAAAACTTATTCAAAGATACATTGACATGAATCCCCCTCCTAAGCTCCCCTTCACTTCAAACATACTTACTTCATCATTCTTGTCACTTTCTGAAGCAGTTTTGAAGTCCTGTTTAGTAATTGTTTTGAGTTGGGCTATCGTGGCTGCCTTGCTACCTGGAATGAATTCAAAATATTTACCTCTCATGATCATTTTTACTTCACGGAAAAGGTAGCAGATATACAGTCCCAGATCCAGTGAATAATATGGATGAGGATACCCTGTATTTTAATAAACCTACCTTTCCATTTGATGACATTCAGCAACAATATTTTTACTGTGTTTTTTAAATCACACTTCATAAAGATCACATTCATGGAAGAGCACTTCTACAGCAGCTTCAGAAAGTGGAAAGAACAATGGGAAAAGTCTATTCGAAACAAGATAGGGAAGTATCTTCAGGGGGATTAATGGCAATATGTCCTTTATTGTAAAGATTTTTTAATTTAAACATTCACCATGTGTTTTAATAGCCCATTGTACTTAGAAGAAAAAATCAAGGAAGGGAATGTGGGGAACGAGTTATTCTCTGTAGTACATTGCTCCTTAAGCAAAATTAGGACAGCAACAAACACATACATGTATATGCATGCCTCCTCTCTCTCTCTCTCTCTCTCTCTCTCTCTCTGAAAGGTAAATACATTTTCTTCTTTGAAACGGGTCAGAATACTAAATTATTAAAATTTCCAATGGGACTGCCCTTGACTTTGTACAACAGTAAAGAGATTTCCTCACCCTCACCACTGACCTCCTTCCAAATCATTTCATCAAGAAAATATCCAGTTAAACTGTTCTTGGTTTCTGAATTTATGAGAAACAGGAGATCCCTGGATGAGAAACCATTATTTCCCTTTACAACTCAGGCAAATGTCCTACTTTTTTATAGGAAACAATTTCTCCAGTTGGTGTGATATTGCAAAATATATATTTACTCTTCACCTAGCTTCTCAACATGCCACTCCTAAAATCCTTAGGATCTTAAAAATAGTGTCATTCTGTGTGCTGAGGAGTTATCTGGTGTCTGCAACCTGTAGGTAACTTTGGGACAAGACTGCCCATAGGCAACACCAAGGTGGGACTACAGGTTGGAGACTTTCAGGTAGACCACCTATCCTCCAGAGAGAAGGCAGAGACTAAAGGTTGAATTGATTACCAATGCCTTTTGCAGTCACTCAACCCCTACTACACAGGAAAGGCATTTGAAATGGAGACTCAGAAAAATGTACCACAGCATCATTAAGCAGAATGTTCATTTACAAAAGATAAATCTCTGATTACACTAGCGATGTTATGTCATTGTTGTGGATTGACAACTGGTGGCCAACTTGTAACACCCTGTTGAACTGAACCACCGTGGTGCTGGGTGTGGGAGACCCACCTGAGGATTGCCCCAGCAGCACAAGAGGCAGAACTGGAGAGGAAGAAGTTTAGAAACTGTTGGGAGCTCCTCCTCCCTCCTAGAGGAGCTTGTCATGGTGGCTTTCCTGATGAACTCAGCTGTTCTCATCAGAGAAACTCAGGACCTCATTGTCACTATAAATGGCTGTGGTACCTTTCGGGGGAGCTCTGGTTCTTACTTTGAGCCTTGCTTCCTGGCTCCAGTGCAATCCCTCAGCCTGCTAGCACAGATCCTTCATCTCGATGGCACAGACTTTCAAGTTTCCACCACTGACCTTGGGACCCTCTTAGCACACATCCTTGAAGCAGACCAGCATGAGACATTTTCATGGGCTTGTGGCCTCCAGTTGGACTCATGGGGGGGCATTGTTATGGGCTCTACGTCTTCAGCTGGACTCATGTAGGACACTGCAGAGGGATTCAGGCCCTCAGCTGTATTCTTTTGGTCTTTACTGTGTGGACAGATTTCCTGCACTCTCTTTGTGTATGACTCTTTGGGTGACTATTATAAAATAATCCTATAAATTGTGTGTCCTGTATTGTATTGTTCCCCTTGCAAACCACGACTATGACAGTCATCTTTTCCAAGTAACAGACACTCAGTTTGATCTTGTATATCTGGTCTGATTGACTGT